ATCATTAGAGCAGAATAGGCTTATGTGGTCGATGGTTCGGAGACTTAGAGGATTTATTTTGTGAGGAGAATAAGACGCAAAACACATTAATGGAAGTTCTCAATGTATCAATCCCAATATCCTTTATTAATGAGTAAAGTAGGTAGATGTTGGTGAGACTGAAAGGTGAAAAGCTTACCCGGGCGGTCTCAATGTATCTAATCCCAATATCCTTTATTAATGAATAAAGTAGGTAGACGTTGGTGAAACTGAAAAGCGAAAAGCTTACCGGGCGGTTCAAGATTAAGATATGCTATTAGTAGTCATGGGATTAATAGTTAGCTTATTCATAAGACATTATTGATAGTAGAACTCCAATCTAATTGATAATGGATGGTGTTGAGTGGAAAATTTTTATATATATAACAAAAGAGTTTGTAAGTTGAATATAAAAAGAGATACTTTATTTATTGTTAATTGATTTTAAATTGAATACAAACTTTATATTGAAGTTTATATATACAATTTTTATATAGTATCAAAACCAAAACTTTATTCCTAGGGAGCCTATTATTGACTCATTAGATAGAACTTGAAGTTCACACTGGCTTTGCATATAAAGAGGTGTATTAAGTATGTGACAAGAGAAGGCGTTCGTATTAAATGTATTGAGTGAGAAAATTTTTATTATCAATTGATTTTAAATTAAATATAAATCTTAAATTGAGTGTCATATGCACAATTTTCACAACTAGTTAAAATTTTCAAACTTTACTAATTGATAGGACTATAGTATTTTATTAGATGAGATTGAGGAAATTCAAGATTTTCTCATAATTGAAATTTCATGAATGATAATTAAAAATTTTAAATACTCTTAATAAATCAGTACATAAAGGGAAAACCATTAAAATTATTTATAAATTTTCACCAATAATCTTAACATTTTAAATATTAAAAACATCTTAATTTTTAATTTTCTCTTATTAGATTATACATAACAAACCCCAATTGTAAAAGCTCATTTTTTCATCAATAGTTATAAACTATGAAAAGTTCAGTACAGCTCCATCTTTGGACACAACAATTTCGCACCAAGAAGAAATCATAGGACCTAAAAAGGCAAATGGATTGATACCCTGTATTAATATTCAGTCAGCAATCCAGCTTTTTTTTTTGGTCATTAGTCAGCAATCTAATGATTTAACATTTTTAGTTGTGTTAATTGCATGGCACCAAATTTAATTCCTGTACGCTCACGTTCTAATTAACAGACATATTTCTTCCCACCATGCGATTGCTTAAGATTGAAATTTCCTAGCTGTTGGTATGTTACATTTTCTTTCTTTTAAAACAATACATTACAAAATAAGTACTAATAATATTTTGAAGATACATATTTGATGCCAAACTGCTGATTAAATTCAAACAAATTAAATAAACAAAAATTTTATGATGTGAGGGGACAGTGTACCCTCTACATTCCTCATATATTTATGTGGGGAAGCTTTATCTTTAAAGTCAGTCCACGAAAAGAAGCCAAGCACATTAAAGAAAATATAGGCATTATGGGCATATAATTTAATTGTTGATAAACAAAGCTATTGTTTATTAAATTATTAATCAGAGCTGTCATTTAGAAAATGACTTGGTGGCAACACAGGCCTGCCCTGTCTGGAAAAGTAGTCAATTTTTAATTTGAATTTTATAATAGAGTGTCTGCTTTGGCTTTATAATATCTTTTTGACTTTTCAGACAGATAATTGAGTCATGCGTATAAGCTTTCTAAAAGAAGGTCCATTCTTTAAGCATTAGTTATTTACTAGCGTGGTATTATATGTTTATAATATAATGTTATTATATAATTAATTTTTTATTTAAGATTTTATATATGATATTATATATATTTATTTA